AGGACACGTTCCCCAACAAAGAAGGATAAAGATAGAGAATATTGCCCATCATATGATTGGGTGGAGCTTAGTGCTGTCTTGAACATTTCAGAACCATGACCTTATACACCACTGTCCAGCCCCATTCCTGACCCAAGGTCAGAGAATTGATCAAACACAGAAATTGCCAGAGAAACTCAACAGATCTGGCAGCATCTGTGGAAAGAGAGAAGAGTTAACATTTCGTGTTTGGTGACCATTCTTCAGAATTGATGGAAGTTTGGAAACAGTGGTGCATATGCTGAAGATATGATGTTGGGAGGTGGGGGGAGCAAGGAAGGAGCGTGTGATAGATGGAGACAAAGCCCGGAGAGAAAGACAGTTGGGTAGACGAACAAATGGATAAGGGTAAGCTGGGAAGACAGAAAAGCTGATAATGGGGACCATTAGTAGGGGGTGGGTAAGGACATGGAGGAAAGTGCTCAGGCCCTAAAATTATTTAACTGTATACTGAGATTTGAAGGCTGCAGGGTTCCCAAGAGGAAAATGAGGTGCTGTACTTCCAGCTTGTGCTGAGTCTCACTGTAGCAGGCCTGAGACAGATGTTGGCCAGGCAGCATGGTGGCGAAGTGGCAGGCAATTGGAGCCTGAAAATTAAACCCTTTTTTCTCTTCTTTCATTACCATCAGTTTACCATCATTACCATCAGTCCTCAGTCCAAATTGTCACTAGGGATTTTTTTTGTGTGTGTGTTGAACTTATTGAAATTGAAAAGCAATTATTTTCTGAAGATATTTCGATATTATTCTAGATGATGTTTCTCCTAGTTTTACTTTGTCTACCCAACTTGTCAGAACCTATTACTGATTAGGTGATAACTTATTGTGCTTCTCTGAAGGAAACAAAGCAAATGGAATCAGTTGGAGGCTAAAATCCAGTTTCTATCTGGAAAGTACTGAGACGCTTCTATAAGCAAGTTCCTTTAGCACAATTGCTGGGTCAGACCATTAACAATGGTATAATTTTAGGCACATAACATAGAACTGTGTAAACTAAAGCTATGCATACAAATTCGAATTCATGAAGTCCTTCAATTTTCTAAGTTTCTGATGCTGTTGAAACATTAGTTTTAGAAAAAAAAATTGCCATCTCGCTTTATGATAAAATTTGTTTCCACCTTTCCCCACTGAACCTTCAATACATATGAAGGGTAATTATACACTGTTGAATTTGGACGAGCTGCCTGAACATAAATCTGGTAATGCAGCTCCAATGTAAAACTGTTTGAGTTTCTTTTTCAATGAACACCAGTCTGACACTTCGGGGCACATTGAAAATCCACACCTATATTCTTAATATTGTGTAAATAACATGTTCATTTATACTCTGGTCAGGTTCCATTTGGCTGAAAGTATGTAATCTTCAACCCAGCTAATGTCCAGAATTTATCAGACATCACTCCAAACTTCTATCATTCACAATTTCCCTCAATGCGCTAGATGTAATCGGTATAGGACAAACAATTCAGAGATTAGTTGGAAAACAGTGAAATGGAATTTGACAAATTTGTCAGTTTATGAGCTGGAAGCATAAACAGTCGCCATGAAAGATGTCAGATTGACATTACAGAACCAACGTTGTTCAGGAAACGGGACTCGCAATGTGCCCAATTTACATGTAATTCTGATCGCACAATGTCTCTAATGCCTTCTGAAGTGGCCAAGAAATCTGTCCCTTTATATAAAAGACAGCTTTTCTTGTTGCATCTCACTAATTAATACAATTGGTAAGAGGACAGGTACAGCGGGATAAATACAGTTTTAATGCAGATGGCATGTTGCTTTACTCTTGGCAACTGACAGTGCAAGACAACTGAATCATATAATATTACATCAATTTCTGTGAAGGCATGCATATTAGCATAAACATTTATTTAAATTGTTATATCTGACATACTAAGAAATATGCAATCACAACAGCTCTTGTTGAGAAAAGTGATGAATTACTTTTTGCACACAAAAGAAATCAGGAGATGGAAACAGCAACTGAATGAATAAATAGCCAGTTATTCCGCTTTTGGTCTTGTTGTTTAAGAGCAGAATATTAGTCAGAATGATACTACTCTATTTGTTTCACAAGTTTTTTTTATATCAAGCTCAGCTTGTGTATAGCATCCATTGCAACTTTAAAAGAGCAACCCTAATAACATGGTTTTACCTTAGTGATACCGTGAGGTGTCAGACTAGAGTGAAGCTTGAACCAATGATCCTTGTTGACCCAAAGCTAAGCTTGTCACTAACAAGCCAATTTGATACTTAGTAGAATTAGTGACAATGACAAGGTTTTGTTGCTAAAATCTGGAATATTCGCTGGAAAATATACAGCAAACTTGCACATAATAGGCTTTGTGCAATCTAATTAAAGACGGTAACAAGCCCAAGCGAAAGCTTCCTTTAGCATCTCAATAATCGAAATATCAATTACTCTTAATGGCACCTTGTGGTGAAGTATACATGGCATTAATAATATGTTGTAACTCGACAGTGACAAATTTCTAACAAATACAAAAGCTTACCCAGATTTTCTGGGGGGTTATAAAAATAGAAAGTGCCCACTTCTCCAAATTCATAATATCCTTTATATATTCAATAGGTACAGCACGTCAAGGCTAAATTATAAGATAAAAATGATGCAGTAGATTTTAGCAGGGTTTCTTATATAACTTCAGGATAAAATCCACAGAAACAGTGTTAATAATGATTTACATTGTTGGTCCCAGGTCTGACATTCTGCTGCAATTATACTGAGAGATATGGAGAGCCGCTGAAGAAATTTCAGATGGGCATTCTTAAGAACAAGGGAAAATCACTTGACTCAGCCCTTACCCTTCTTTAACATGTCTTTGTCCCTCTTTCTTCCTGAAATGTATTCCTGAAGCCATTACAACTGCCAACTCAAATCCTGTCTCTGAGAAATGCCCAACTGGGTTTGACTTCATGTAGTGACTTTCATGTCCTTAGAACATGTCAAAGTAAATGCTAATGGATGATATTTACCTACCTAAACAATTGGGTGTGGTGCCGCTGACACTAAGGGGAAGATATGATGGAGGGGGTGTGGGGTGCAGCTGACCTTGTGGAGAAGTCTGTCCCGATAGACAGGATGCCAATCCCATTATATCCCAATAATAGACAACCAGAGGCTTGGGTGGTGGAACAGGATTGGAAGGTCTCATGAGGGGAGTACTAGTGGCTTGTTGCCAGGGAGGATGGGTAGGATCAAGGGCTTTGTGGTGGGGAGGATCGGGAGCCTCGAGGTGGTGAGGGTTGGTGACATCAAATTAGGGAGGATTGGGAGTCTCAAGGTGGGCAGTGTCAGGGTCCTTGAGGTGATGAGGATTGGTAGAGATGGGGAGGGTCAGGGACATCAAGATGGGGAGGGTCTGGAACATCGAGATGGGAGGATGGGGACATTGAGGTGGGAGGATCAGGCAAATCGTGGTGGGGAGGATCAGGGACATCGAGGCGGGGATGGTTGGGGACCTCAAGTGGGGTCTCGAGGTGAGCAAGCGATCATGGTTAGGTAATGGGGTGAACCTGAAGTGGTAGTGTACAGATGAGGAGGGAGCTGGGGAGAAGCAGATAGAGGCTTCATGGTGTTGTGGAGAAGGCGCAGTTGGAGACCTGTTGGTGGTATGAGAGGGATGTCAGAGACCTGGTACTATGATTGGCTGGGTAGAGGATTATGGTGTCAAAACCCAATTGCTTCTTAGGCACCTTTATCCAGAAGGAAGGTGTGAAGGGGCTTAAGTCTTCAATCCACCACATTGAAACTGCTGCAATTCCCAATGCTCATGTCATCAAATTGCAGTAAATAATCTTGATGATATCTGACTATTGCTGTGCAGAACAGCATCTTTTGACATGTGACTTAGCGAGCCTGGGACTAACTTTGGCTTCCTTCCTCCCATGTGAAGCTGTTGAAATGTGAGGTTGCCTGTCATTCCATCATTTGCCAATATATTCAGTTGTATGTTCCTCTGATGAGCTCTGATTTCTTTTTTCAATCATCACTCTAGTCTTTTTTTATAGAATCCCTACAGTGTGGAAACAGGATATTCAGCCCAACTAGTCCACGCCGCCCCTCTGAAGAGCATCCCACCAGACTCATTCCCCTACCCCTGCATTTCCCCATGTCTCACCCACCTAACCTAAACATCCCTGGACACTACGGGCCATTTAGCATGGCCATAGTTCTGCACCTTATGTGGGCAATGAAAAACACACTAACTCTTTAAAACTGAAATGTTGCTTTCCGCTCCCCCAAATCTAAAACCAATATTCCTGAGTAAATAAAATGTTTCCCTTAAACTTACAACCATGATTGAATTGGAAACCTCCACCAGTCAATCAAAGGGGGCCCAGAAGCCTGAGAAAAGGTTACACATTTCAGGATATTTTGAGCTCCACATCACCCAAAAATCATGGTGTGTTTTGAACAACTATTTAATGGATTTGTTAGACTAAATGTCTATTTTTTGCTTTCCTATTTTTATTATGACACATCATTTTGATGTTAAGAACATGAAGGAACTTAATATTTTGCTTTATAAGTCTCTGACACGGCCAATTGGTGACCTTAAGATAAAACATTGGTTCAACCTACTTTTGGCATTGGATGCCATCTTAGTATGGGAGGTGAAAGCTGCAGGGAATGACCAGCCAGAGGAGTGTTAAGAGGCTGATTGTAATGAGTACATAAAGTCTGGGTGGGGCAAATGTTGCAGGACAGCACTGAACTTATGAGTTAGCAATCAGTTGGAGGGTGGAATAGCTGAAGATTGGGAGCAGGACATCCAAACTCATCCTCTAAATGTTTGTGCATGGCCTGCAGGCAAACTGGAGAATAAAATGATAAGGGATATGAACCCTCTCACAAAATAAAACAGACACTTATGGGTTGAAGGAAAAGACAGTGATACAATTAACAAGTACATTCCATAGCAGGAAGACCAGACTAACCTTCTCCTCTAAGATGGGCTCACAGTGGGAGTAATTGATTCTAGAGGCCCACGTTCCATTTCCAGTACATTCTCTGTACACACTTCCTGTAAAAGTGAAAGAAAATCATATGATCAGGTCTTGACAAGAAGGGTCCTGACCCGAAATGTCAACTTTCCTGCTCCTCTGATGCTGCCTGGCCTGCTGTGCTTCTCCAGTTCCACACTGTGTTATCTCTGACTCCAGCATCGGCAGTTCTTGCTATCTCTGTAAAGTTATTATGTTTTATTCATTCAGGGGATGTGGGCATTGCTGGTTGGGCCAGCATTTATTGTCCATCCCTAGGTGCCCTGAAGAAAGTAATGGTGAGCTGCCTCCTTGAACCACTGCAGTCCATGTGCATTCATTATTTTGATAAATAAGAAGTGTTTTTTTTATGATAAACTTTTTTGAAGTTTAGTCAATTTTATAGTATAGCAAACTGCAGCAAATTTGAACATGGACATTCCCACAAATGGCAAATAAAAAATTTAAAAATGAGAACACCATCTGTTTTAGATACTATTTGCGGGATAAATGTTTATTAGAACAGCAGGGTGAAAGCCCCGCCAACATCTTTGAAATAGTGCCATGCAGTGATGTAGTGCTATTATAGTGACTAGAGAGGCTGGTTTAGTACTTCATCTGAAAGATGACATGTTTCGATCGTACAACTCTCCTTTAGTACCACGCTAATGTGCACTTTTTTTCATAAAACAAATCAGAGAAATGCAGAGAAAGTGAAAGTAGCAGATAACTCTTTATAATCAATGTATTTCACACTGGCACCCAAAACAAATGTCTAACCTATTTTTCGTCTTCCGTTTGCCATTTTTGACCTTAAATCTTTTCCTTAAACCTTCCCAGACTGAATTGTTTGTTTTGTAAGCATCAAATATGGGACGGTAAAAGAAAATCCTATTTCTTAATTTTGCTAAAATACAATGTAGAAATCATGAGCTATGCTGCATTTTCATTCCAGCATTTCATTTCTTTGAAAATACATTAATCAGGGTTAAACTGCTTCTGTTTCTTGCAGTAGACTGCCCTGCTAATCATTGCACTTGACAGTAGATGTGAACTTATTTCATGCTTTGAAAATATTTCAAATCCTACTGTAACTGAGAAGCGTGCTGGTACTTTGAAGGACTGACTCTATGTAAGAGTTAAGGAGCCACGGCAGCCATGGAGGACTTTCACAAGTTTCTTTTTGTAGCAATATGACAAAGAAAAAGAACTTCACTGGGTGCTAACCTGACAAGGTAATTGCCTGCTCTTTATAGAATCTGCTTAATTTTAGTTCAATTGGGAATGAAAATCAGGGAGGTTCTATAATAGTCCAACTGCCCTTCACTTCAAAGTTCAGCCAGGTTTCTTATCGTTGATTATCATCCAGCAGTTCCCTCTGAAACAAGTGAATCTCAGAATAGAACACTACATTCAACCATGGGGTTGATTATACCATTAAGGCTCACGTAAGGCAAGTTGCCATTTGGATGTCATGCTATTAACCTGGGGCTTTGGAGCTGTCATCCCACTAAGGCAGAGAGAGAGGCAGAAAAACACACCCCCTGCAGAAAGGGATAAAGTGTTGTAGCATTCCTTTAAACTCGATCTCTCAGTAAAAGTACAAAACATGGTAATAGATCAATGGAGCATTTCATAACGCATCAAACATAATGGCTCTAGGTTATATCTGTCAATGTGCGTAACCTTACAGCTCTAGAAGGTTCCACTTCACTGACCCATATGCAATTAAGTACAATTCTCTATTGAACAAGACTTTCAGTCATCCATAATGTCAAATAAGCTTTACTGAATGTATATCAAAGTTAAATCTAAATTTTATTTTGTCCTCGCCTGGTGATAGACAGCCAGTCTCTGTTTCATTGGAGGTAGAACATGTGCCCACTGGAGGATAAGGTAATTTAGAGTGAGTGATTGCATATAAAGGGGTTGAACTGTTGCAGCCTCACTTGGCAGAGCTGGGGTCATTATCTTCAGACATTAAAAACTGTGTATATGCTGTGGTACTGTGGCATCTGTACCTGGCTGACCTGCTATATAAAACTCCAGCAACACAGGCTGATAGCTCGGGCTACTGATAACTGGAATACAAAAGTGTCCAGGCTCACAATACTTGAAACAGCCACTTTAGATGTACCAACAGGATACATCATGGGTAGAGCTCAGGAATAGGAAAGGTGAAATCACAATGCTGAGGGAATACAACAGGCCTCCCTGCATCCCCTAGATTGACTGGGACTCACTATGTGCTAGTGGCTTGGATGGGGCAGAATTTGTAAGGACCATTCAGGAGGGATTCTTGACACAGTACGTAAACAGTCCAACCAGGGAAGGGGTTATACTGGGATAACAAGGTGTAGAGCTGTTTGAACACAACAGGCCAAGCAGCATCAGAGGAGCAGGAAAGCTGACGTTTTGGGTCTGGACCCTTCTTCAGAAATGGGGGAGGGGAAGGGGATTCTGAAATAAATAGAGAGAGAGGGGAAGGCGGATGGAAGCTGGATAAAGGAGCAGATAGGTGGAGAGGAGACAGACAGGTGAAAGAGGCAGGGATGGAGCCAGTAAAGGTGAGTGTAGGTGGGGAGTTAGGGTGGTTAGGGAGTTAGGGGTTATACTGGACCTGGTTTTGGGAAATGAGCCCAGTCAAGTAAGTAAAGTTTCAGTGGGGGAACATCTTGGGAATAGTGACCATAATACCATGAGTTTTAGGATACCCATGGATAGGGAAAACAGCAGTGCTCGGGTGATGGTGTTAAATTGGGGGAAGACGAACTACAACAATATTAGGCAGGAACTGAAGAATTTTGAGTGGAGGCGGCTATTTGAGGGTAAATGTACATCTGACATGTGGGTGTGTTTCAAACGGCAGTTGATAAGAGTTCAGGACAGGCACATTCCTGTGGGAATGAAGGATAGGTATGGCACGTTATGTGAAACTTGGATGACCGGAGATGTTATGACCTTGGTCAGAAAGGAAAAGGAAGCATTGGTAAGGTCTAGAAGGAGGGGAACTGAAGAAGCCCTTGAAGTTTATAAGGAAAGTAGGTAAAAACTTAAAAAGGAATTAGAAGGGCTAAAAGGGGTCATGAAAAGTCATTAGTAAACAGGATTAAGGAGAATCCCAAGGCCTTTTATACATATATAAAAAGGAAGAGAATAGCTAAGGAAAGGGTTGGCCCACTAAAGGACAAAGGAGGGAATCTACGTGTGGAGTCCACTCAAGGACAAAGGAGGGAATCTATGTGTGGAGCCAGAAGGTGCAAGGGGTGGAGTTTAAAAGAGATATGCGAAGCAAATTTTTCACACAAAGGATGGTGAGTGCCTAGAACGGCTGCCAGAAGAGGTGGTGGAAGCAGATACAATAGCTGCATTCAAGAAGCACCTGGACGAATACATGATTAGGACGGGGATAGAGGGATACAGATCCTGTGAAGACAGTTTTACTATGGAAGGGCAAAATGTGGCAGCGCGGGCTTAGAGGACCAAAGGGCCTGTTCCTGTGCTGTATTGTTCTTGTTCTTTGTTCAATAGCTACCCACTGTCCTGAGAATTGTTCCTATGCATGGCCAATTCTTCAGAGGGGGTAGGGAAGGGGATAAATGACCTACAAAGAAATGGTTGTTTTTATTTATGTTTTAATCTAATGCATCTCACAGGAAGTGATGGGATTAGACTTGTTGGCCATTTTACATCCAACTCACTTTATGTTTTATCAAAGTACTATGTTAATGCACAACAATGCAAAGGAAAAGAGGGAAGGAAGAGAAGAAGTGGAAGGAATTTAGCAAGTCATTTATATAGTGCTTCCCATGATCTCAAGGTGCTCCAGGGAATTAAGTAATCTTGAAGTGTAGTCACTGTTGTCATGTTAGAACAGCGGTCAATTTGTGAACAGCAAACTCACACAAACAGCAATGCAATAGGAACCAAAAAAAAGTGTTTTCAGCAACATTGAAATAGTAATAAACGTCTGGACAGAGGCAATTTGGATAACTCCCTCGTTCATCTTCAAAGAAATACCGTGGATTCTTTTACATCCACTCAGGGCCTTGGATGTCATTTCATTTGGGAGATGGTATTTCCAGTAGGCATCACAAACTCAATTCTTGACAGCCATCAATTTCCTCATTTCATTGGTGCGCTTGAGCCCTGGAGTGGGGTTTGACCTCAGAACATTGGGCCTCAGAGGCCAGCATGCAACCCCAGTGAGGACTCCAGCAGGTAGAAAAATGTGCAGTGCCTTATCATTGTCTCATACTTGGGTGTATACTGAGTGTTGTTATTTGGGAATATTATATAGACATTCTCCACACAACAAGATCCCAAAAATTCCAACAAAAGTAATGTCATAGGGGCAGGGTAGGTAATTATCGAGTCAGGTTTGGCAAGATACAGTGAGAAAACACGTCAGACTTCACGGCAACAAATTCTCCAAAAGCTCAACGCAACTTGGTTTTAGCAAAGAAATGCAAGCTTAAACTTTAAGTCTTTTTAATAGTGTTAATTAGGGGATGAATGCTGCCAAGGAAAATGGGAAAATTCTCGACTCTCCTTCTAATGTTATCCTGGTTTGTTGTGTATCTACCTCACAGGTAGATAAGACCTAGGTATAATGTCTCATCTAAATACTACCAGTGTTTTACAATGTTGCACTTCCCCAGTATTAGAGTTGGAGTATTAATCTAAATTATATACTTAAGTCCTAAACCAAAACATACAGATTCAAAGAGAAGTAGACTACAGGCCTAATTGCGTTCCAGCTGCAGTTAGTAAGTGTAACCTTTTGCTCTATTCACCCTCCATCATTAATAATGTTAAATTCTTCCAGAGAAGACCTGGATCGATTTCAAGAGCAACATGAGCAAATTTCTTCTTGGCTACTTAAGGCAATAATTTTTAATGCTTCCAGAGATTTTGCTTCCACTGTCTAGCCTATGTCTTAACTCTTCATATGACAAAAATAACTCTCAATATTAATCTTGATGTGGAAGTGCTGGCATTGGACTGAGGTGGACAAGGTCAGAAATCACATGACACAAGG